AGATAGATAGATAGATAGATAGATAGATAGATAGATAGATAGATAGAATTCTTTTATTGGCCAAGTGTGATTGGGCACACAAGGAATTTGTCTTGGTGCAAATGCTCTCAGTGTACATAAAAGATACATTGGTCAAGAGTCAAGAATCATCAGGCCCAACACTTAATAGTTGTCATAGGGTACAATAAGCAATCAGATCATACTAGGAAACAGTCCATATAAGAGTAGAGTAGAGTAGAGTAGAGTAGAGTAGAGTAGAGTAGAGTAGAGTAGAATAGAGTAGAATAGAGTAGAGTAGAATAAACAGAGTTGGGAGGGACCTTGGAGGTCTTCTAGTCCAGCCCCCTGCTTAGGCAGGAAACCCTACACCCTTTCAGACCAACGGTTGTCCAGTGTCTTATTAAAAACTTCCAGTGTTGGAGCACTTACAACTTCTGGAGGCAAGCTGTTCCCCTGATTAATTGTTCTCCTCCTTAGTTCCAGGTTGCTGCTTCTCTCCTTGATGAGTGTCCCCTCCCCCGCCCCCCTTGCTTCCTTGTCCTGCCTTCAGGTGCTTTGGAGCAGCGGTCGCCAACCAGTGGGCCTTGAGAAAATTTTGTTGGGCCACAGAGAAATCTCACCCCCTGAGCACCCCTCCAAAGCAATTAATCCAGGCTGGGCATAAACACAAGGCTGCGCCTCCCACATGGCCCGCGGGAACCCTCCCCATCCACTCACTCCTTACCCGGTAAACTTTCCTGCTAAATTTCTATTTCTCCTTTATCCGACCATCATCTGTTCTGCTGTGCCAGGAGATCTAGATTAGCTAGGAAGCAGAAAATAGTTGGATTTCTTGCTTTCTAGCTAGTCTTTAGATCTTCAGCTCTGCTTTTAAGCACAGCCGAACATCCCTTAGGACTGAAGGTTTGCTTGCAAGCAAATTCAGTGCAGACTCACGGCAAACAAATTTGAGAGAATGAGGTAGCCGATAGCAGATAGATAGATCACTGAATGATTCTGTGAGCAACTCAATCTGCCTGCTTTGCCTGATTTGGGGTAAAAGTTGCTCTTTTTTATAAAAAATTCAATATTTTACATACATGGTGTGTTGTGAGTTAATTTTATGAGTTTGCTTGCAAGCAAATTTTATGTGACAGACTGAGTTAGCCAATGGCAGATAGATAGATCTCTCAATGAATCTGTGAGCAACTCAACTGCCTGCCTGCTTTGCCTGATTTTGGGTAAAAGTTGCTCTTTTTTTAATAAAAAAAAAATCAATATTTATATAAATATTTATAATATTTACATACAAGCCATGCCCAGCCAGTCACGTGATCATCAAGCCACACCCACAAATTAGGCCACGCCCACAGAACTAGTTAGTGGTTCCTGGGATCTAAAATTATGAGTTTGGTGGTCCCTGAGGTCCAAAAGGTTGGGGACCCCTGCTTTGGAGAATAGCTTGACCCTCCCCTTCTTTGTTTGCAGCCCCTGAGATATCAGAAGGCTGCTATCGTGTCTCCACTAGTCCTTCTTTTCGTCAGCCTAGACCTACCCAATTTCAGCAACCGTTCTTTATATGTTTTAGCCTCTTCTGTGAAGTGAACAGTTAGGATGAGGAAACTGGTACAGAGGAAGATGTTCAATTCTGTCTTGGTTCTTTCCTCAATATTTGTAAGGCACCCAAAACTTCTGTAGTTCTTACTGTATCCTGGTTACAGTAAGGATTCTTGCTTCCTAAGGCAGCTTCATTTGTCCTGCAAAAGGAAATGGGAAATTCGATTACGGCGCCCACTGGATGATCTAATTAGACCTTTAGTATTAACAGAAAATGTAATTGGCAGATAGGCCAAGGTTCACAGTTATGTTAGTTGGCTGCATGTTCATGTATCCCAGCTCATAAGATAATTTTCAGGGGGCAGAATTGCCCACGATATTTTCTGTAACGAGGATAGTGAAACCAGATCCCCTGCATAGAAATTACATGTGCTAATATACATGTCCAGATGCAAAATGATATGATTTACATACAAATATAAGATAATATAATGAGCGAGCTGATAAAAGCTCAGCTCCAGGGATCTTATAGACTTTTGATCTTCTTTATTTTGGGGAGTAAAAGTCAAGGTTTGGCTTTTTATATAAAACATTGGGGAAATTTATGGATTTTTTTTGGAATCCATAATATGTGTATGCATGTACGTAAGTATATGTATGTGTGTATTGTGTACACACACACACACACATGCACAGAGTAGAAAGCAAGAGAACAAGAGTCCTGCCCTAGCTGTAAAAGCCAGCTGGGTGATTTTGGGCCAGTCACTCTCTCTCTCTCTCAACCAACTTACCTCACAGGATTGTTGTGGTGGGAAAAATAGGAGGAGGAAGGTGTGTTGGATGACTGAAATCCAGGGAATAAAGTCAATATTTTAAATGGATGCCAAGAAAAGAATCACCCTGTGGATTTTGAAGCAATTCGGAGAGCATTGGATCAGTCACACTTTTGGGCAGATGTAATGAGCCCTGGAGAACCGAGAATTTTCTGACGAAAGAAAATTTCCCTTAAGTTTCCCAATGGTGAACTTATCAGGAATGTGCATTAAAGTTTCAGCTTTATTTTTACAAGAACTTCCTGGCCAAAATTCAAATTCATTCTAACAACATAAATACAGTTAAAATGCAAACTTAAAAACATTTATGATACTTTTATTGAAAATATAATGTAAAATTGTTACTGGCACTGAAAGACAAATGCCATAATACCTGCTCGGACCTTATTTAATTGTTTTATGGTTATTTTTTAAATTAAACCACCCATTAGCTGGAACTTTCTGGTTGGTGCTGAAACACCCATTTGAATGGAGCCATATAGGTCAATCCTTTGTTTTTTAAGAAACGATTTTGATGACTGCCTTGTTGCTGGTCATCAGTTCACACAGAAACCCTGATAAGACTTTTCACAAACCCCAAAGAGCACCAGGGGATGGGACAGGCTTCCGTTATAATCTGACCTGATGGTCACCAGGGTCAGGGCTGGGGGCCTTCTCTCTACTGGCACCCTCTCAACCGGGGGTGTGTGTGTGTCAAACTGGGTTTCTTCAAGGTCCGGATTAGCATTGTAGTTCTTCTCTGTGGGGCAGTGGGGGGGCAGCACTCTGCTGGCTGTTTTTCGGACATTTTTCAGCCCGTTTTTGGTTGGCAAAGTGCTGCAGGAGACCATGGAGGGTGAAAACGAAGCACGGGCAGCCCTGGCATGCAGCCCATTTTAGCCACCAGAGGCACCACGGGCCAGTCCTTTGATATTTCCAGGCCAGCCCTGAGGGCCGGATTTAAGCACCCCAGAGGCCGACTCTGGCCCACGGGTGGCCTTGAGTTTGACACCCCTGCTCTAAATAATCCAATATACACTACTACAACTTTATTATTATTATTATTATTATTATTATTATTATTATTATTATTATTATTATTATTATTATTATTATTATCGTGTTTCTCATATAAAAAGGCCGGGTCTTATTTTTTTTTGAGCCCCGAAAAAATGGCTAGGCCGTCTTTTCGGGGGGTGACTTAATTCCCCCCCCTTGCATCTTCGGGCGGGCGGGCGGCGATGGCTTGGATGTTGACCTCGGCATTGGTGGGGCACTTCGTATCGGGGTCAATGCAGGCAGCACCATATCCGGGTGTGCAACAAAAGTACTTCCTAACGGCAAGCCCCCCCCCCACCATTCCCCCCCCATTTTGCATGTTTTAATATAGGCCTTAATTTGGGGGGAGGGACTTAATTTCATTTCATGCCTATAAAACATGCTGGGACTTCCTACTGGGGGAGGCCATATTGTTGGAGAAACAGGGTATTATTATTTTGGGAGGGGAAGCAGAATAGAAAAATGTCACAAGCCAGGAAGACCTGGCAGTGCAGGGGGAAGAGTTTATTTTTTGGCCTCCTGCTAATTGCACGAGCCCATTAAGTCTCGCCATTAGAAAGCACTAAGAACCCCGGAGGCATCTCTCCCGGGCTAGCGAAACATTTTCCCAAACTTCAAGAGCCTAATTAACCAGACTTCTTGCTGGTGAAACTTCCTGCCATTCATCAGGAAGCTAAATTAAGATTCAGCCTCAGAATTAAGGGACGGAGGGAAGGCTCAGCTGCCTCGTAGAGAAAGGCTGGAGTGGACTCACACCGGCAGATAAAAGTTCCCGCAACTGTGAAGTTCTCCGAAGAAGGGAAACATTGTGTCTGCCTCTCCCAAAAGAGCAAAACCTGTATGCTCACATCCCCCCAAAATAAAGAGAAAATACCATATTTAGCCATTCATTTATCTGTACTGTGTCAGCTACTTTGCCTTCTAATCCAGTTTCTTGCCCAGTTGTTAGAGGAACAGGAATCTATAATAGCTTGAGTAAAAAATAAGAGTCCTTATATTAATGGAAGGCTGAGGATAAAAAGTCAAGTTAACTCCTGTCAATGTCTAAACCTAAAAGGTCTATTTCGGGGTGAGACCCTCAAGGTGCCTGCTTTTTTTTTTTTTTTAATCTGCTTTGTTTGGTTTTTGTCTTTGTTGCATGGACCTGTTTTTAAAATTATTTGACCAGGCAGAAAAATAAACAAATAAGCGGGTACATAAAGCATAGTTCTCTGTAATGTCTGAGCCATGAATGACAGACTTACAGATTTTCTTCTTTCCAGGTCAGAGAGGAAGCAACAAAGGTTTTCTGAGAGTCACACAACTCTCCAGTGAAAACACGTTTTGTGGTGTCTTTAACTTAGAAAAAGCCAATGAATGGGGAAGAGGCTTAAAGGAGCTGGCCCAGGATGGGGAAAAACGAGACTCCACCATTGTTTTTGTCACACAGTCAGCCAGATGCCCAGACCGGATTGGGCCTCTTTGTCCACCTAGGGAGCCCTTTCCAAGGACCCGGGATAGGCAGCAGACGCGGTTGTGTGATGGTGCTAGAGGTATCATCGCAGCATGGAAGCTGATCTGAGTCCAGCTGCCTTTTGCCATGGACTGGCCCAGGTGAATTGGTCAGTGTCGGTGTCCCAGTGGTGCTCCAGATGGTAATGGGGTGGCGCCCAAGGCCCCAATGACTCTGGGCCCTGCCTTTGCTTTCTTTGGCCGCAGCCGGTCTTTGTCATCCTTGTTATTCTTATTCCTCTCATGACTAAACCTTGTGAGGTCCTTCATGTACTGTGGAGGTCAACAGCTTCAGGAACGAACCCTGTTTGCTGCCTGCTCTACTTTTTCTGCAGCTGTGTTAAAAGGAGACGGGCATCAAGTCGTCCTCCAGCAAATCCCCGATTGGAACGACGTGCAGCTGATTGTGAACGGGGAGACCGTCTTCCAGTGCAACATCAATGACTTAGATTTCGGTAAGTGCCCCTGGCATCGACGTGGGCCCGGGGGTCTCCCAGATCGGCTCCTTAGGCTCAGGGCTGAGAAAGGCAGCAAATCAAGATCCACGGGTGTGCCGTGAATTCCCATCCCACCCCCCTTGCTCTCTTTCTCTCAGGAGGAGATGGAAAGTTGGACCCTCTTTGCCAAGAAGCTCGAGAGGCCGTCTTAAAAGCCTACTGAAGAAGCCTTCTTCTTGTGCTTTGCTCTTTCAAACGCTCGTTTCTCACGAAGGAAGCCCAACCCCCCAACCCCCCCAAGGCTCCTATTGTACCTTGTTGCCAAAACAGTACGGTCTCCAATTCACTAATCACTTCTCTGCTTCATATCTAATTATTTGAAGCCTTTTTGTCCTTATGCTTTTCTAGGCTCATCTTGTTCTTTTGAAGTGTTCCTCCCCTTCTTGAACCATCACCGTGTATAAACCTATTAACTTCAGTGTAGTTATGTTGGAATAAAAAAATAAAACTAAGTTTGTTCAAAAGATATTCTCTGTCTAGCAATTCTCCCAGGATTAAACCGCAAAGGCTCAGATCAAATCAAACTATAGATGGAATAATAACAATAATGGAGATCAATATTTTGGTAAGAAGCATGCTAGGATCAATCCATAAAGATGAAGCTGTCATAAAACCACAAATAAGCCAGACCTCACATGTTATTATTTACTTGTCATGCCTCGGATACTTCTATTTTGAAAGCAGGAGGGTGTGACCCACAAACAGCAGCAGCAGAAAGCCAAATGTTTATCTTTATGTTAATTTTGCTCCCTTCCCGGCTACGAGAGCATTTATTACTGAAAGGAAGACAGAAAATGTTTCAAGATCCACTGAGATGATCTTTCTTGTGAAATATATGGACTCGCTGTTATTTACGCTGCATTTGGTCCTTCCCTTTGAAATTCCCTTCTGAAAGAAAAACTCTATCATTGTTTTGCCACGTCTCGGCTTTCTATGTGGCTGTGAAGAGTCAACACCAACTTGATGCCACAGAGTCAAATACTGACAAAATATTTCTGACACATCCTATTTTATTATTCTTATGATTACCACCGCGGTTACATTTTATAATACATAGGGCAGCATAACGTTGGGCAGCTTTCTTGGCCCTTTTTTTTTACCAAAAATTCCAAGCTAGGTTGCAAAATAGTCCGTCAGACTTACTTCACAACCGTATTTTTAATATATCTGTCTCACCTCTGCATCTTTTTTGTTTGCAACCTTTGCTGGTTTTGTTGATTCCGATGATGGCACACAACAGTAAGTGCGCAGTTTTCTCTCAGCACAACCCTGAGGAGTAATCTAGGTACCTAAACAGAATTTTGGCTACATCTATATAGTGTTAATACATACGGGAAGTTAACTAAGAAGGAGAGATCGCAGGAAAAGCTGGCCACTACTGGTCCAGTCTTAAAGCACAAGACATGGCTGCTACTTGGCTGCTCCCTTTGCTGAGAGGTAGCTGTGCTGTAACTCTTAAAGCCAAATGAACAGAATCAGAAGTTACTTCTAACACTCGCAGCCTACATACAACTAGTTTGATAATCTTTTGAAGGAGCTGACTACTTCCCTAAATCCTAAAAAAACACCTAAATCCTCACTAGCTTTCGCTCCCTTTTTATGATGACTGGCTTTCCTTCCATAAAGCACTCCAGGTAATGGGAGTGAGGGAGCCCAGGACGAGGGTCAAAAGGTCTTCCCTTCGAAGGCCTCCAGGTTGAAGGCTGTATCCAAAAATCTTCGGAGCGAGACGAGATGGGTGTTTTTGTTACCGGTGGCCGGAGCAGCAGCTGGTTCACGCCCAACATACCTTAAGAGGCAAGAGGAAATAAATGAGAGGTTTCTCTGAAGTAGGTGTGGATGTAATAATATCTGCTAGCGCTATAATTTCCGGGGAACGGCTGATTATACAGGCCATGACTAGCAACACTGAATAGCCATCTGCTACAGCATCCAGATCTTACATGGGCAACCGGGAGTTTGGCCAACATTTACCCAACTCTATGAGCAAAGCCTTCACTCAATTTTCCAAAAAGCTTTCAGATCTCTACTGTAGATTGGCACTCCAGGCAGATGCCCCCCATGTGGTCTACTTTAGACTCCACAGGGGTCCCTCCACCGATCCATCTGAGAAGAAATGCAGCTTACTGGCTGAACATGCTCCATGCCCTGCCAATGCCAGGCGGAGTACCTGGTGCTAAGTGATTTCCACTGATATCCAATGCAAGCATTGTTACCATATCGGTCGAGTGTGGTTGACGATGGTCCGGAACCGAGGTTTGACATAGTCATAGTAGCCTATGTTCTTGTGCTCTTCTTGGCACCAAACAAGTTCGGCTTTAGCATACTTCTTAATTTCCACTTTTAGCAGGTCAAAAGGAAACGGTGAGATCTAGAGGAATGAAAGCATTAAAGAACCCTCTGAAATATAAAGGGGTCACATTCTGCAGTGCACATCTTATTCCCCAAATGCTTCACTTCAATGCTTCAATGTCTCCCACGCACCCCAGGAGGGAGGCTTAAAGGTTTTATTCTATCTATGGATAAAATCATAACAAAACAAATGGTCTGCATTTCTTGCAGAGACATGAGGATTATGCTGCAGTTGTTCGTTATATCCTTTCAAACTTCCACCTGTTAGGATGCTAAGTGTGAGAACATGCATGAAAATGCAAATTAAAATAGGAATTTGGTGACAAATTTTGTTTTAAAACTTGGTAGTTGTTGGAGGAGAGCAGGCAGAGTCTGGGGCAGAGTCAAGAAAGTCATCCGCCTAGAATCACTACATCCCCATAAATAGTCTAAGTCCAACAACCCCTCTTGAATTCTGCTAACTCTTATCTAGTGCCAATTTAGGGTTGAACACTAGTCGACTAGGGTCTTGAATGTAGGCTTGAGCAATAAATCACCTTCACTGGAACTTAACATATGGCCCTGATTCTTCATGCCTGACAGCAGCTTAGTGGGGATATGCAGCAGAAAGAGACCTAGGAAAGCCCCCGTGGAGGCAAGGAGGATCGTTTGAGGAAGGCTCCTTGCACTCCAAATAATGAGTAAAGGGATGATCCTGCATCTCGGTCCACGGAGAAATATACTCTTTTTTTTTCCACACAAGCAGCGTCAGATTAGTCAACTGTGGGGTTGCAGTTGGCAGTTTTATACTACTTTTATATAGCTGAAGTACAGCTTTTTTCTTGTGGGTTTTGCATTATGCCTCAGTGCAAATATTTGCAGCTACTTTCATTTGATAGAGATATATCTTAAATTTCACTATTATGAAATTACATCACCAAAATTAAACCACTTGGGGTCTCAGTATTCTTAGAGGAAGATAGCTGGTTTTATTTGTTTTCAATACCAATGCTCCCTAGTGGAATGAAATTTGAATGGCTCACCTGATAAATATCAAAATAATAATAACAACAACAGTATATAGTTCTTGGTTCATAAACTATGCATCCATTTGCTGAAAGAATTTCAACTATTATCTTTAGGCCAAGGAGGATTCACAGGCATATCAATTCCAAAGCCCATCTCAATTACTTTTTTTAAAAAAAATCTACAGCATGCAATACTTTCAGGAAAATATGAGAATATCCAGACTCTTTACTGTGCCATGCATTACTGGCTAATATCATGAAACCAAAATAAAGCAGAAGAAACGCATTTTCATTCAAATGTCCATTGGAGAAACCAGGGCTTTTAACTTGGAAATGAAAGGAACAGAGTGAAACATCGCAATGACAAGTAGAGTCACAATAATGATGCAAATGATCAATAATATTATTAAAACTTGATGGAGAAAAGATGGCTTTGTAATTTACATGATAAACTAGATGCCATCAGGTAGTATTTTAACCTTGGCACCCACTGTCACAATCAGAACAGCTTTTATTTCAGTACAGAATAATGCATTGCCAAGGTGCCAAGGTTAAAATACTATCTGATGGCATCTAACATATGGAATACTACTATTCTTTTTTTCTGATATTTTTCCTGGAAAAAAAAATCAAATCAAGGAGAATATTTGTAGCTCAGGGTTGGAATGAGGGCTCCGTGGTGCTCTCTGAACTTGGTTGTTTTCTTGCAGACGTTTCATGACCCAGCTAGGTAACATCATCAGTGCTAGAAGAGAGAGAGGAGAAGGACAAGAAGGACTGTGGTGCTCTGATGATTTCATGATCCAAACTAGGTAGCATTGATGATGTTACCTACAAGAAAACAACCAAGCTCAGAGAGCACCAAAGGCTCATAAAAAACAAACAAACCCCAGTTTGGAGACTGACTAATCAAGGAATCAAAGTTTGACTCAAATTATCACATAAATGAAAAATTGTTTCTAAAACAAATGTTCCAGAGCTTCTACGACACAAGTTTTACCTGCTCCAATCTGATTATAGCCACTGCTTTTTCCAGATCTTGATTTTTCCTTTCTTTAACAAGATCGTAATATACCTTCCCAGTACAGAAAATCACCCGATTCACATCCTCAGGAGATTCAGCAGCAACTCCTTCCTCCGCAATCACACGCTTGAACTTGGTGCCTAGGAACAACACACAACGTCGGACGATAAAACCCAAAGATGAAATATTAACGTGATTAGCAGGATAAGAGGAACAGCGGCATTCCTTATCCTTCTGATTCCCACATTCTGATATGAATTTCTGCAGAGAAGTTCCAGGGCATGTGGACCATGCAGGAAGCTGCATCCTTCCCAGAGGACCAGGCCAGGAGGGGGATGAAGTTACATCTTGCTGCTCCGGATGCCCAGGAATCCCTTTCTACAAGATCGCGGCCCATTTGTGTAATGTATTGTGCCTTCCTGACCGGCATTTTTAATGGCTAGGGGATTCTGAGAGTTGAATTCCACACATCTTAAATTTCCCACCTGCAAGTATGTGTGTAAGATTAAACATACATGTAAGCTTGCTTCTATGTATGTTCGTTTAATCTTACACTCATCCATGAGATGCCTTCTATTTTTCATGGTCCAAAAGCCAATGTAAGACGGAATGGGGAATTTTGAGAGTTGAAGTCCACACATTTCAAACTTTGCTGTGTGTGTGTGTGTGTGTGTGTGTGTGTGTGAGTGAGTGTGTAAAATTAAACACACCTATCAGCTTGCTTATAGGTAAGTTTATCCTACACCCATGCATGAGATCAGCTTTTGCTTTTTATAGCCCCAAAAGCCAACATAAGCCCGAGCATGGACAAAGAGCTATTCAGAGGAGGACCAGGGGTTCCCCTCTTGGCTAATGGGTCCGGTCAGACTCCCAAGGGAACCCAGGCAGGACTCCACTCTCCTTCCTCCACAGCAGCGTCAGCCAAACTGAGCCCCG